GAGGCTGATCAAGGCAGTAAAAGACCATAGTCTGCAAAAAGTGAATCCTTAAGTCAATGAAAAGCTCCATTTCTGTGTCAAAACTAGGAGAATTTTGCCCAGAAGTGTCTAAAATAGTACTATCCAGCCTCAAGAGTATTTCCACATGGCAGCCATAATATTTGTGGATGACCATACCAATGCAGCAAGGACTATGCAATGATACATGCTGAGGAAAATGTGGAAAATGGGCAAAACCCCACTTCCTCCTCATAAGCTCATATGGATGAGAAGGGCTGGCTGCAGGCTAAATTGGAGGCCTATGGGATACAAGGTAGGGCAAGTAGTAATTCAACCTAAAAGCCAGTAAGACACCTGAGTCATGACTCAGGTCACAGCTGAATGCACCCAATATTTCTATTAACTCAGATCTCATCATACAAACATCAGCAAACTATCACCAGTCCAACCCAGCTAGTATCACCCCAGATTCATTGATTACCTAGTGGTGATTAATAAATGTGGGTTGGATTTTCCCCAAATGAATACCATTGTGCCATTGGGTTGGCTTTTGAGAATTGCAACAAGAACTTCTGGTTCACATGTCAATTTCACAAAGAAAATTTAATTAGTATGAGAGAGTGTTTCCTGTGCATTTTCCAATTGTTGGTTACATAGTTTAGTTGTAACTGTTATGGATCAAACTGTTGGGTTATGTAGTGATAGGGATGGCATGGAGAGGAATGATCGAACATCCTAGGTTCAGTGGTGTAGTGGTTGCATGCCAGACCAGCATTCAGGAGGCCAGGTTCAATTCCCAGCCATCCCCTGGCTTTCTTTCGCCACCTCATGCCATCCAACCTTCCCCTCCCATGACAGTTACACCATGGTTAAATGATGTTCCCACATCAAAAAAGTTCATGGCCATCATCCTGAGATATCACACCTGATTGCTTATCTCCATATTGAGATGAGGTGATGGAACTGATTGCCTCAATATACACTGGGTATATTGAAGTCATTGTGAAGTGTTCTTGGCTAACTTCAGTGGTTGAAAACAAATTATAATGGCCTAGATGAAGATTTTGTGCAATTCTTAATTGAGGTGGTGATCTATTATTATGCACTCTTGACGTAGCACCTCTTTGAACCCTTTAACTGCTGAGTTTTGTTTTGTGGTGGTATCCCATATTCAAGTATATTTCAGACTTTTGTCAGTTTTGTGAAAGATGGCATTAGTTAGAATTATGCACATGTACCTTAGTAGTGAATGTTATGAATTGATCCCAAATGAATGCATGACTGTCTGTATTTAAATGCAGTATACTATAGAATTAGATTAGTAGCTCCTTGAAGTGGTGCTGGAATATATATATGGGTATAGCAGTAAAATGATAAAGGTTATGACTTCTTATAAAGTCTAGAACTTTGCCTTCTTACATCACCATGTGCTTGGGGATTTTTGCTTCCTCCATGCAACAGTGTCTCTTACAAACTGTCTGGAGTATTACTGAGATGGACTTTATCCTGTGGTACATGGTCAGCATCCAAGTTTACCTGTAATGTGGACTGGTATAAGAAATGGTATGTAAACTCAGTTGGGACTCTTTGGATAGGGAGGGAGATGAAAGTTTTCTAGACTTCTCTGTTACTGTGTAGCACTGTTTCTTCAATCTGAATCTAACTATTTCTGCTTGATTGCAGCTGAGGAACCTAAGTGCTGGTTGGAAATGGAAGGAACCAATAGAAGTAGTGAGGAGAAGATTGGAATTTGGGTATAAGCCTAGAGCCTAAGCAGCCCCTTCCACTTTTCCTGCCGTAATTCCCGTTGCCACCATTCACAAAACAAATTATGAATTGTGCTGTATTAAGGGTGAGCTAAGCTTTTGTTGTCCTTCTGTCTCAGAATTTGAGCTCCATATCTTGTGAGTTGAAGCAGTTGCACTCACTGAGCAGTGCTGAGATATACACTCAACAGACATTGAAATATTGCCACCCCAACCACCCAATTGGTAGAAAGTGGACTGTGCCATTGGAATAAAAGCACATCGGGTTGAACGTGGTCACCAGTTGATGCATTATAGTGGGTACAGCTAGCATAAAGTGTTTCATGTGAGCAGCATGGGAAAAGGTCGCGATTTTATGGATTTTGAATAAGGTGATATTAAGTAGAAGGTCATACTTCAATGTCCATTGAGTGTTTATGTTTTATTCTTTTCCTATGCCTGACTTCATATTTCAGAATTACTTTGTACTGTATGTGGAGATTTAGATTAGAATAAACAAAACTTCTGTGAATTCTGGTGCTTTTTGGGATTATTTGCTTGTGGCTTCTATTTCTTCTTCAACCAACATGAAGTGTTCCCAATTGCACAAAATTTGTGGCAGTGAGACATTTTGCTGGTTATTACTTAAGTGTCCCCTTTGAACTCTTAGTAATCCTGGCTGTAGTAGTTGGCTGCATATAACTCTCCTTTAGTTACTTAGAAACTTCATGTATGTGAGGAAGGAGGACCTGAATGATATATCTCCCTTCAAATAAAAGGGCTCAATCCCACTTATAATGGGATTGCTTTATTGCCCCTTACAATGCAGTTCTCAGCAGGGGGTCAAAGGAAAACCAAGACATGCCACTTATATGATTGTTTCCTTCTTTTAAGCCCTTGGGAATTCCCTTAAACTGATTTTCATTCAGTATATTGTGATATTCTTTTTCATGGCTTTCTCATGCATGAAGATACAAGCTGGGTTACCCAGCATTGCCCGGGATATTTTTTAGGAGTAATATTTAGGTTGGGTGGTTAGGGTGGTGTGGTAGTGATGAGTCAAATACTGACCCTGGTCAAACAGTACTTGACTTGTGGCTTCTTGAAGTTAGTTGTAGACTACTTGAAGTGTCTTGGCTTTGTTGAAGGGGGCCTTATAGAACTTACCAACTTCACTGTGGATGCAAGTGAAATTGGTAAGTAAAGGCCAGGACAGTTTTACTACTGTTAGTTAGCTAAAGTGAACTAATTTTTTTAATTTTTGACAGTGATTTCTGTTGATTTTTTAGTGGCCCATTTTATAATATTTATTCCATCACTCTTGCAAGACCAATTGGTCCGTTGAGTTCGTCATATCCGAAAACTACAAATATACATACTCTCATAAAGAGGCAGAAGGTGAATAAACAGAAATAGATAAATAAAATAAAATAAGTAAGAAAGTAAACAGAACTGGACAGGACACACAGAACTGAACAGAACACTCAGAACATACAGAACTGAATTGGACACACCAAAACTAAACACATGAACATAAGTATAAAATCAAAAGGGGTGAGGTATAAGAGAATGACGAAATGAGAGTCAGAAAAAATATATAATAATAAATAAATAAATAAATAAATCAAAATAAAAGGGGGGGGGAGGGAGGTGTGACTGCACCTTTACATAAGAGGAAACTCAAGTAAGAGGACGGTGGGTAAGTAACCCTGATGTGGGGTAGGAGGGGAGTTTACCAGGTAATATCAAAGAATTCTGAGAATGAGTAGAGCGGGTATGAGAGAAAGTTCCTTCAACTGCCTTTGGAAGGCTGTATGATTGAGTTGTCAAATTTTTTTTTATTTTTGACAGTTGATTTTTCAGCAAGCCAATTTTGTTCATTTCTTGACAGTGATTTCTGTCAGGGTGTGTCAGCCAGACTTTTTGTGGACCAAACAGGTTCTGGGAACCTGTGGAACTCCAATCTGTTGTCCCCGTCATCCTAGTTGGCCTGGAACACCCTTTTTGGGACCCTTAGCCCCCCCCCGGAGCCACCCCCCCCTGACCCCGACCCCCCTATGACCTGCTACTGGACAGACCCAACTGCCTTCGGAAGACTGTATGATTGAGTTGTCGAATTGACCTGGGGATAGAATTGAAGTAATGCGGCCCCCAAGAGAAGATTAGTCTACTAGCCAGGGCGGATGAATCAATTGAACGGTGGTAGTCATTTTTACTTCGGGTGTCGTAGGAATGTATGCCTGCATTCGAGATGGCTTCGTTTTTAGAGACAATAGCATGGAAACAGACACTAGTGTGAAAGAGAACCAAGCTGGGGAAGGTAAGGAATTTGAGTTTAGGGAAGAGAGGGCAACATGTGGTACGGATTGACTTGTGGAGGATGGTTCTGACGATGTGTTTCTGGAGCGACAGGATACGACAGACATGTCGCTCAGAGCAATGACCCCAGGCAAGAAGTCCATAGCTCAAGTGAGGAAAGGCAAGAGCATAGAACATTTTTTAAAAGTCTTCCTGAGAGAGAATAGAAGAGAGACGGTAAAAAGATGCTGCAGCATATTTCAAGAGGCGACAGACATGGTCCACCTGGTTGTCCCAGTGAAAATAAGGGTCTAAACAAATACCGAGAAAAGTGGTTGAGGTGGCGAAGGTGAGTGGTGGATCAGTACATCGGAATGTGGAAAAAAGAACTCGAGTTGTTTTTGATGCATTGAGGCGCAGACCATGATCCAAACAGTGAAATAAATTCATTTCTGCACACAATAATTTTACAGCTGCATAAAAAAAAGAAAGTATAATTCTAATTCGGGTGGGGGAAGGACTCTGTTATGCAATTGTATGCCAATAAAGTTTCCAAGATCTGTCTCTACTACAATTTTTAATGACACCATGCTAACAACTTCCAGGAGTATCATCATAACCTGAGGATTCTTATAGACTTCAAGAACAAGATTCATATAGCCATCCAAAAAGGAAGAGGAACTTGATCACAAGGGTCAAGATGCTTAAAAAACACAGATAAAACCATGTTGAGACTGAATGAGAGCATGAGGGTCCAATCCATTAGTTCTCAAACTATAAAGGGCTTTGATAGCTAAGATGAAAGCTCACTTAATTTTGATCAGTATTTCAGGCAGAAAAATAATCAAATGTGGCATTACTGCTATTGAACAACACACAATTGTTTTCCCTCAAAACATTCAATGAGATAGTAATACAATAGGAGCTCCTCAGACTCCTTCTTCAACTTGCTTAGCATTAAGAAAATGTGAGATTAAGGCCAACCTTGATCAGTCGCTTGGTTCGAAGCTGAAGGACATTGATTCGCCGAAGTACAAGTGTACGGACTTCCAATTTGATGTTCTGGGTCTCTTGCTGCTCCAGCTGGCCAATGACATCTTGCAGGCAGCGTGAGATCTCGAACACCTCCTGATTACACCACACGCGGAAGCCTCTGGTGCGCCGAAAACGCTGTGACTGCTCAGAAGTATTCTCTGTTTCCATATAGGGGGTTTCTGTCTGCCTGAAATAAAGGAAGAAAGGCACCCCATGACAGCAAGATGAAATTGTAAAATCAGCATGGAAATGACTGACCAGGTCAGAGATGAGGAAGAGACACACTTACCATTCGCTCACACTAAGAAATGGCAACTGGAAAAATTATGGCCAAATTCATAAAAACCATAATTCTGCTTCATATGTTTTTGAAAATTGTATTCTTCCATGGCTACACATGAAAAATTAAATTTCAAACACTCCATAAATTTAAATTAATCTGCTTGAGAACAACAACTTAACATGAATCTTGGTTCAACTTTCAAAACTGTTAAGGCATGACTCACTGCTGGAGGTAAAGGAGAGAATTGTGTAGATCCTCTGTCTCCAAAATGATCTGTTTTGTGCGGCTTTCAACTTCTAAAGTCAATGACTGCCGCATTTGACCCAGGAGTGGTTGACGCAGGCTCTGACGTTTCTTTGCATGTTGCAAAACAGCCTCATCCATGTGGTGCTCATCTTCAGTCAGCTGTGCTGCCTGGCATGATGTAAGATGGGTTTGAAAGTGAGCATTTGTAGATGGTCTCAATTGTGTTGGGATGCTTCTATCAAGTCCTGTGCCTGAGCTGGAGCACCCATGGCTCCTCTGGCTAATCAGCCCTGGAAAATGAAAATCAGAATGTATTATTCTTAGGATTATGTTCATAGGTACTAATGCATGTATCTACAAGAACTCACTTACTTTGAAATTAGTTATGATAGAAAGTTGAAACAAACACCAAAAGATGCAGAAACACTTCCAAATTTACCCTAGAGGTTTTTAATGTGGCTTCCACACATGTTGCAACACATATCCAAGAAATATTCAATTTCTTGCAAAATTCTCTCCAGCATAGCTGTTTCCATATTGGACACTGCTACTATGATCTGATTCTTGAAACCTACAATGCTGGTTGCCAGGGGAAGTTGGTACACATTGTCTCATATTGTGTACCAACTTCCTCACAGGTGAGGTGAGATCTGATGATCGTGGAGGCCAAGTGAATGGACTCCCATTGCTGGGAATTTCTGATCTAAGAAAAGTCTTACTGCACGATGGAAATGTTCAGGAGCACCATCTTGTTGGAAGACAATGTTGTCCCCATGTCTTCATCCATTTGTGGTACTAGAAGGTTTTAGAGCATGTCTAGGTTTCACTTAAGGGGCAGAACATGCTTCTTCAAACAATTTAAGGTATTGTGCTTTCTGAGCTCCTGTGAAATTCACCATTTTTGTGTACATGACTACTGCACCACCAGCAGAATGAATGTGAAGTTGGTATTCATGCAGCACAAAACTTTGTGTTTCTGCATCTTTTGTTTTTTTTTTCACCTTTATATCATTTCAAATTAATAAGAAAATCAACTTGTAAAGATAATTTATATCTGATTGGAAAGAAAGTTCTCGGAATTTCATTAACAATTATTACAACCCAGTTTATTTAAAAGCAAAATCATCTCAATCATGAATGTAATCACCATTGGCCTCTATCACTTCATGCCAACGTTTATGCAAACTATGGATGCCATTCCAATAGAACTCTGGCAGCTGCGCTACGAAAAAGTTGGCCAAATCGGTTTTCAGGTCGTCTTGGTTGGCGTACTGCTTTCCACCCATGTGACGGTCCAGGGCAACAAAAAGGTGATAATCGGACGGGNTAGGGCTGGTTCATGGCTGGAGAGCACCAGGGCTGTAATAATATACGGTTGTATGCCGAAGGACACGACCTACTTATAAACACACGCAGAACATTCTAGCATGCTCTGGAAAAAAATTGTACTGGATATTCAAGAAATTCCGAGAACTTTCTTTCCAATCAGATAAACACCCTGTATTATTTGACACACAACTATGATAAACAGCTCCAATCATCCTTGAAAGAAAATGAAGGATTGAGAATGTTAGGCTCAGTTGTAAAAATGTTCCCCAACTGAAAAGACCTCACAACCCCTCTGGAGATAAACAGTAGATCAGGCAAAAGAAGCTCTGGGCCCATTACTGCACCCTGATTTTTGAACATCAGCCAACCCACCAATGTTACTGGTGTTAGCTAGCTAATTTCAGCTATTACAAGTAACCTTGGGATACTTAATTTCGTCCATGATACTCTGGGAATATGCTACCTAGGTTTGGCCTTCACACCACCAGGAATCTTTAACATTCCACATTCTGAGACAGGAGTGCATCATGATAAGGAGTCTCCTTTCCCAAGTATGCCAGGACTTGGACTCAGAAATAAATGCTGGACTTGTTTAGGTTTCAACCCAGGTCCCCTGTCACAGGGCCCCAGTTCATAACCTACTGAGCCACTCGTATGCCTCTACTTATTATTAGGATTATTATTCCTACTTTTGGTGCACCTAAAATCTAATAGCTTCAAGTAGTACAAATGTTGTTCTTAGGATCCATAAGTCATTATAGGATAAGACAAGTGAGGCCAAACTCCTGAAGCATGTTATTTGAATCCTTGACATATAGAAAGCAATAAATCAGGAATTAGTAAAAAAAATATGAAAAACAACTTGAATAGGCTCAATACAAAAAACTCAAATAAAGTAATATTACCACTGAAGGAGGAGCTGACAAGGGATGAAGCAGGTTTTGGAGGTGTGAGGGGGATGGGAGAGAGTTTAGTTGGGACTGCAAAAGGATCCTTGAGCTTGGGGCAACTCCAACTTCCAAACACCCTTTGGCACAATTGTTGTGATTTTTGATTAGGTTTGAAAAGTTCCATATCATGTGACTGATGACAATGCCCATGCATGTGAGTGGATGAACCCCACATCCTACAGTTAGGAATGGACTCGTGTTTTAGAGGCTTCTCATATGAGTATTGTCTAGGATAGGTGGAAGTTTGGTGCAGGCAGCAGTGATGACCAAGGCTGAAAATTGGATGGGAAAGAAGAGTCCCACATGAATAAGAGCTGCCTTCATTGGATCCAGATTCACAACTAACAGGAGGAACTAATTTAAAAGGATGCTGCAATCTAACTGATGCACAAGAATGCGAGTCTCTTGGTATTGCCATCACACCAGCTGTTTCAATGGGCAGTGTTTTTTGATCCAGAGAGTTCTGAATCACTTCCTGTCCTTTTCCTTTCATATGATTTTGGACCATGTTGCAATCATTGGTTCCCTCATCACCTGAATTGACAAATTCATAACTATGAAAGCTTTCACTATCCATTGGCTTTACCACATGCTGGTCAGGCAACTCAATGGTCTGGTCAATGAACACGTCAGAAGCCACATCCTTGAGAGTGAAATCTTCATTACTCTGGTTTCTAGTGTAGCTGGTGTTTTCATAGCATGTGGAAGTGTCATCCTGGGATTCTGAAGAGGTGCTCTTATTTCTCTCCCTTGGTTTCTTCTCTTCCTTGAGATGCACTTTTAACTGAGACAGAAGTTGGCTGACTACTTCATTGACCCACTCATCCATGTAAGTTGGATGGAGCATCAGAGGGGTCTCATGTTCACACTGATGCTCAGGAAGTGGCAAAAGGTTTTCATGCTGAGAGACTAACATCTGAGAACTGGATTGGGACAGGAATATTTGTTTTACACCAGATACCAGGTCATTGCTCTTTACCAAATGAATGTTTTTAGCACTAGGACTCCATACATTCTGGTTATTCAATGAATACAGGAAGCTTGTTTGATCTGTTCTACTTGATGACGGTTTCATGGAAACATTTACTGGAATAGGTGGAGGTTCTGATTTTTCCAAATCATCAAAAGCTCTAAAACATTCACTTCCATCTCCTTTGCCTGCAAGTTCTCTAAATGCTGCTGGGATGCAGAGCTGTGCTGTGACTGATTTTAATGGTACCATTTCCAAATTTGAAGTCTGGGCTTGGAGCCCCTGAAAAAACATATCACCCTGTCCAGCACCATCTTGAATCTTTTCTATTGATTTCAACGAAAAGAGGAGGGTTGGGCATTGAGGTAGATGAAGGTTACATTTTGGATCTCTTGATCTGGCCTCTTCATGATCATCTCTTTTCCCCTTCAGACTCTCTTCCCCTGGCTCTTCAGAAATGGGAGGTAGATGTGACTTGGATGAATCTTTACATAGTTGAGGACTATCACTAAATTCACAGAGGGCCAGAGGCTCAGACAATCTCCAGTTCCTCTTCACAGTTATGTCAGGGGCTTCAGGATACTGACACTGAGGCTGCTTGAGGAATAGTGATGATGATAAGTCCTCCATAATTATACCATATTTTGGTAGTTTCCCAACAGGGAAAGATGAACATGTTGGACTTGAGGTCTTTTCAGGGGGATCATCATTGGTATTCATGGCATTGAACAAGGATTGAGTCTGTCTTAAGCCTCGATGGGATGCTGTCAGGATCTTTCGCTCTATTAAATAATTTCTTGGTATATGAATGTCCTGTTCTTGAGATGGGCTTTTAGATTTCCATGACACCTGAACTTGGTTATGCTGAGGCTGGCTCTTGCCATCAGCCTCAGTCACACCAATAAATTCATTCTCTATCACCTTTCGCTTTCGGCCTTGATCAAGAAGGGTATCATAATTATAGGTAATGGATTCAAGGTCAAGGTTAGGAGACTTTGCAGCCACAGAGGGAAGGCTACGAAAGGATTCACCTTCAGATGTGTTAGAGTGCATTCCCCAGCTCATGATGCGCTTCAGAAGTATAGTTTGCTCTGTTGGGGCTTCCTCCTCTGGGTTACTCCCATCACTAAAATTTCCAGAGCTCATGGGGTCAAAATACTCTGAAAAACCCAGGTCTTGGAGATCCAGCTCTGCTCTGTGTCCCCTCTCATCCTGTTTGCTGGACTTCTCTATCAAAGAAGTTTCCTACAGTGAAAATGAGAAGAAAATAATTTTTAAAACTGTTATGATCCCATAGCATAGCATAAAATCTTTGCAAACAGGCTGTAGGCATACACTGCTCTCTTCAGATCCATCTTCTACTTGTTCCACAATGGAGGATGAAATCTCATTCTGCTGCTCCATACACCAACCAAGAATTAAAAAGTCTCACAACTATAAAAAAAAAAACAAGCAGAAAAAACACCAGACTTTCTACTGTGACTTCAATTTGCCATAAGAGATGGGGGCATTGGTTCTCCAAACTAGGCAGATTTATGCTTCATTCTGTTGGGAGACAAAATAAGAGTCTTCAAGATGAAATTTTTAACTTGGAGGACCTAGATGGTTAAAGGGTTAAGATTTCTATAATCCTACACTGGCTTTCAGTTGGACTTTGTACTCTCCCATTGGAAGGCTCTCATAGGTTGCAGCGACATTCCAGATTCAGAAGTGGGGATTGAGGATCATCTGATGAAGTACAGGGTGACCCAAAAAAACCATACTGGGCTCGTTTTTGGGAGAGAGCTGGGAGGAGGTTGTTTTCAAAGTTTGGTATGGTTTTCTTTGGGCCACCCTGTATATATAGAAATAGCACTTTTTCCTTTCTCCACTAAGAAGGGTAAGCATTTATTCCAAAAACCAAGTATTATACAAGTTACAAGATTTTTATTTCTGCCATTAAAGAGTTAATTTTACATGGAACTAGAATACAATGTCTGAAAACAAAATTTGCAGGGTCTAATACTTTTTAATACTTGAAAAAAATTGATTCATTGAGATCTGGAATGTCTTGAGGTTTATCAAAAACATATCCAACTAAAATGAATGCAAATGTTTACCTAAATGAATTAGTCAGGAATATAACCTTTTTTGCCTAAAGGTAGAGATGCAGACTAAATGTATTTTCAGTTTCAGTTCATCTCCAGCCAACAAAATCAATAACTGCTACTACGAAACTGTAGTTTCTCTTCAGTTCAAAGGATCCTCATTCACTGGAGATAAACTGAAACTGGATTTAATATAAAAGGACGCTATAACTGTAGCTTAACTGAATGACATGAAACCACTGCTATCTTAGGCCCACATAAGCTTAACACCAGTGGTTAAAGTTCAGAGAACAAGAGGTGATTATATTCCAATTGTTTCTTTTCTATTTTCAGAGCAGGATTCACACTCACACAAGCTGCACTGTATGCAATTTAGATGCAATTGACACAATCTTGTCAAATTCACGAATTGGGAAAAAAGGCCCTGACTGGAGAGCGGCGGCAAATGCGTGAGTTATGATTTACCTATCATCCCTTCACTCTTATGGCTCCCACGTTTACGGATCGACTCTAATGATAGCCTAAAATTAGACCTACATTAGGCCCAATTAACTAGGCAGCCAGAGGTACTCATATGCCTACAGTTAACGCTTTGTTTATATTACCCAACAGCCTATGCCTACGCCAAACTGCAAGGGCTAACGTTACAGGCCTCGGTCTGACAACAATAAACTTAGGCCTAAGGGGTTGTCCTGTTTATGAGCGAACTGCAGACCAGGCCGACAGCAGGCTTCTGCTTGCAGAAAAATAAAATAAAATAAGGCCAACTTAAACTGCGGTTTGGCCGAAGAATTCCAGTGAGAAAAACCTTTAATCCGATGATCTGACACCTCAAGCCGACCGGGCGGCACCTTTGAAATCGGCGTTAAGTCTTACAGCCCAATCGGGAATAGGGAAGCAGGGATGGTAAAAACCCACGTAAAGCGAGATCGGGTTCGGTCCCACTCATAAAATTTGAGAAACAATCAGATTCGCGATCTGATCGCGTTCGTTCGAGTTAAGTTTGCACAAAGTTTGGCATCTAAAACGCCAAAAATATAGAGTTCGAGTTCGACTTCAGTTAGTCACAACTGGATTCGTGTTCTGAGGAAGGGTTCAATTCATTTGAAATATCACTGAAAAGTAATGATCATAAATCATATTTGGGACTGCGCAAGGATTGTTCCTGGAGCAAAATTGTACCTCATCAACTTCTCAAGCACTACTGGACTCAAATTTTATTTTATATCCTGACAAATTGCAACTGCTGTTGTCTGCTGTCTTCATGCAGAAACTATTCTCAGACCCCGCCTGGCATAACGCAGTGCCTCCTGCGATAAAAATAATAATAATAAATCAGATGAGGGGGCCTGGTTTCGAACGTTTCCCACCAATAAAATTTTCCATTATCACGTTACGCTAGGACAGAGGCGTAGCGTCGAGGGGAGGAGGGGGTCACGTGCCCCACACCCCCAACTTTTTCCATCCACGCTTCGCTCATGCGCTAATATACTTTTTTATATGTAAATTTTAATTTATCAAGGATATGTAAGGAATTTATGGAAGCTGTTCAAAGATTCTCCTTTGCTACCAACTCAATGATCCAAAAAGTAACGGTCTACAGACCTTTAAAATTTAAACTAACAGGGTGGCCGGTCCTGGAAATTATTTTCTCCCTTTTTCTTTAAAAAATGATTTCGAGTCCGTCTTCCTAAGCACGGACGTCGATTTCTTCCCGAGCGAAACATTGATGCTTAGAAGAACTCTGTAAGACAGTTCTTTTAAGTTCAGGGAGACCATCCGAATCATCATATTTTAGGGGAGGATCCACATTCTGGCATGGACATCATGCATTCCGGCCTTACCCTCAGCTAAGTGAAGACTGTAGATTACAAGGTTCGCTACCGCTTTAGAACGCAAGCTGCACGATTCAAGGACTTGAATGCTGAATGCAGCACGACAAAGAGGGGTGAATACCCTCGTAAGACTGCTTCAAAGAGGGAGGGAGAACCTCTCTCGACTTCCACACGATTTCAGTCTGTACCAGAAGGACTGACTGCACACCAGACTCACCATCGTGCTGGACAGTGCCATTTGAGGGTATTCGACATTTTATCATTCAAGCCGCAGACTTCCACTTATGCAGCTAGCCCCGCTACACGAGGAGTAGCTGCCGAACCGACTTTTTTTGCGCAACGAGGTTAAAGTTATGTGCTGCATGGCTGACCCAAGTTCCGTTGCCATACAATAAGCAGCTACAAGTTTTTGGGACTTGATAACTCTAAAATAATTTTATAGCGAAGTTGCGAAAAATGTGTCCAGAATCAATACTCACTTTTCCTTTCATTTATTGGAATAATGTAAGTCGTCACCTGCAGCTGCTTTATTCGAAGCACTCTACTGGTACACGGGAAGCCTTCGATAAAAAAAATTCCCTGGGGATGATCTTAATTGTCATACCTGCCACAACGTGCACTCGCTCTTACAAGTTTTGGAAATAGCAAAGCCTTTTGATGACTTGCATGAACAATAGGGAAGTGAGACCCTTCCAGCTGATACCGTTGGATCAACACGAATGTAACTCGCACCTGCCTGTCTGTGCAAGCTTTTCAATCTCATCTCTGATACATGTATATTATGTTACACCGACATTCTGCCCATGGAATGGGGATCTAAAAAGAAAAATGCCGCCGAGGCCGCTCGGTGAACCGAACATTTTATGATCAAGAAAGACTTTCGAAATAAGCCCATCCTTGTGATGCCTCAGACCTGAGTAGGCCCCTACTATCTCATTATTCCATACTATACCACGACATCCTGTAAAATTACGACCTAACGATTTTATTGGCAAAGATTAAACATGAGAGAATCTCTGAGAGAATCCCACTACGACTAGCGGAACCACTGAGGACCACCGAGCCAAGCTTGGAGTAGAACCACGCCGAGCGGCTTTATCTCTGCCTATTTCAATGCTGGTCATGCTGTTAGGTCAAACAAGTTATGAGTTCTTGCTTTTAACTTCGTTAAATGCGAGGATCTTAATCCAAGTTCCGAGATGTTAAATGCCGGGAAGGGACAATTTTATTATTATCGCGATCTCATTGTACTTCCGTTGTTGAATTCCGACCAGAGACAATAGGTTCATCTGATTATCCCAACATCTTTCGAAACGCAATAGAATTTACGCGTTACTTGCAAGAGAATCGTTATCCAGATTCCCTACCCTGCTAGACTCATAACTAGGACTGGGATTTTTATGCAAATGCATATTTTTCATGAAGTCGTTTTTTTTTCTCTCATGGAGGGTACAAATTGAGGAAAGAGCCTATGGGGAAAATTCATTTTTGTAAATATGTTTGCATATCCTGAACTGACAGCATAAAAAGGCATATTTTGAGGTATGCACCAGTTGATTGAATGTAACCTTGGTGGAACGAAAACAAAACGGTCAGAATAATAAGACTTCGAAGAGGGTCGTCATTCTTCCCAACTCACGTGTGTCCCATCTTCTCCGCCACCCCTGCTCCTTCCCCGCCCCTCCTTCCTGAAATTACATGAATTTGGGGAGGGAGGGGGGCGTTCTGCCTAGGAGCATCTCAAACCTTGACCATGGCCTGTGGGTTTCATTTTCCTTAGACTGGTAGGTTGCCAATCGCTTCCGAAGGCTGAAATCTAGGCCGAAATGAATAAATATATTGTGCTTTGCCTAGTTCTACATGCATCTTCTTACTATCTTCATGCCTTTCATTGTGAATATTTCTAGCATTTCCATTCCATGCATAATAATCCTGGCTCTAACCGTTACATTCCGCATTCCTCGTACCCTCCAGTTTATCTCCACCTTCCTGCAATCAATCAGTCTCCCTACACATCCACCAGGAATTTACCATGGTAACATCTTGCGACGGTTCGCTCATATTTAGACCCACATTACATACGTTACCTGTCATCATATCGACCGGAACAGGCAACCCCCTTTGAATACATTCATAAACCTAAACAGCTTTTTCTACGGAAAAGAGAGGGACCGTCTCACCGTGTTTCGCAACGCGTGTCGTACACAATGGGGGTCGTCATGGCGACGAGTGTAGGGAAATAATAATGATCCCATTTCAACTTTGTAGTTGAAGCGGAACCTTCGCGCCTATCGGCTATCATCATCCTCGATCATCAGATATGCCATGGTCATCTCTAGGGAATAAAATGGTCGGCTTTCTATGGGGCCACAATATGGCCAGTCTGGCAGAAAGGAAACGTTGACAGCTGGAAACGTATAAAAAATATATATATTCAATAGCCATGAGTGATGGCGATGAATGCCAATGCTAATTTCATGATGGCAAAAGTAACTCCTCCTTCGAGCCGAATTCGAACCAGCGACCTATGGATGGCTATCGTATTTCCCTACAGTCCACCGCTCTATCAACTGAGCTATCAAAGGACTCATCTATGCTAATTTCGTTGCATCCGTGAAGTATCCCGATATCGGAAAC